GCATGATACACACTCTTGGCAACCGATCATGAACCACAACTCTTGAAAGAGCTATGGGATAACAGTAGTTCTTCAGAATGAATCGGTCAGCGCATCGTCTTCCATTACGCAAGTTATGGCAGGTGCCCCTATAAGAATAACAGTAGTTTTTGACCAACCCTGCCCATGACCTACATATGGGGCCACTAAAATTGCAAAAGAGAGATGTAATAAATGATATAGGTTATGACGAAAATGCCACGGCAGGTGCCCCTATAGGAATAACAGTAGTTTTTGACCAACCCTACCCATGACCTACATATGGGGTCAAGTAATCCTTTTGCTGGGATATTCAATAAAAGCAAGCATCAGCACAAAGTTAGGTAGTACAATTAAGACTTTATTTTAAGATACTTACAAGGCACTAAAGGAAAAACTTGCATTTCCGGGTACGCACTCACAGTATAACTCTTAACAACCAAGTGTGAGCCACATAGAGGTTGGAACCGGTTAAACTTAACCGGTTAATTAACCAGTTAAAACGGTTAACCGGTTAAAACATTTGTTAACCGGTTAAAAAACAATTTTTAACCGGTTAAATTAACCAGTTAAATTAACCGGTTAAATTAATCGGTTAAATTAATCGGTTAAATTAACCGGTTAAATTAATCGGTTAAATTAACCGGTTAAATTAATCGGTTAAATTAACCGGTTAAAATGCGTAATTCTGGCCAAATTTACAGTGCCGGCCAGAATTATAAATCACGGGACTTCGGATAAAAGTTTAGCCACCAGGTAAGACCAGGTGGTGGAAATTTTTGTGTTATATAAAATTCATAATGCGGGCCGAAATTCATAGTGCCAGCCGGACAATTTTGGCCTGAATTTCGTCTTTCAGCTAGAGTTTCGTTTCGATAGTTAGAGTTTTGGTCTGGCCTAATTTTGGCCGATATTTGATGCTAATCCTGGCCAAATTTTAATTCTGACTAGGATTGAGTTTTAACCGGTTAATTAACCGGTTAAAGGTTTGGTTAACCGGTTATTAACCGGTTAAGACTTTTTGGACCGGTTCCAACCTCTAGAGCCACAACTCAAGAGCTATGGGATAACAGTAGTTTTTCAGAACACTCAATAGTTATACTGTCTTCTGTGAGAGAATCTGGTTACAAACGTGCCTTCTGATGAAGAATAACAGTAGTTTTTGTCCGCTTATGCCAGACTACATCTCACAGGATACGTTCTATTTTACAAAAATAAAGGGAAAAAATTTAGTACACCCAATAGACAATCTGCTTGGTAGTTGTTAATGATCTTGGTTTCCTGAGTCTTCATCCGGTAAGATGTGCATACTGTTGCTGTAAGATTTTTTCTTTTTTGGTATTGCACCATTCGGAACAGGTTTCTCCTAAAATTCTATTACAGAATCAACGTTAGCGATGTTAAGAATATTTCATCATAGATATGATTAACATTAGACTAATATGCCAGAAACGGGATTACAGAAAATATTTTATTAAAGCTCAAGAACATGAGGAAATGAAAACGCGAAACTAAAAAATGCAATTAGTACTTACAAGCTGGAGATGCAAATAGTATCGTGTAAATCCAAAGCAAGCCGTAAGCTTTCATACATAATAATGCACATAATACTTTTTGTAGGTTTTTTTCAAAGTCTGAGAAGAAGAAAAAGCCTGAGAAAGAAGAAAAAGTCCGAGAAGAAGAAAACGATTATCAATACAAGTTTCCATTGAGCCAATAAATTATCAACATGTTTGTGTCGCGGTTTCGTGATTGTGTACGCGGTTTTATATGATCACGTTAAATTTATTCAGTAAGATCGACATCGTGCATAGCACAAAACGCACGTGACCTCTTATTCTGGACTCTTATTGCGACTGCGAGACAATAATGGATCAATAGATTACCGCCATCCATTTAATGATCGTGGCGTGGCGCGCGCTTGATAATTCTCTTTAGATATTGATCTGTCTTCTATTTCATTATAATCTAGACTTGTTTTATTTCTAATGTAAACCCGTTAAACTTTTTTTATTTTTTCTTTTTTTAGTGCTGGTTCTTCTTTTCTTGTTCTTAGTGCTAGTAGAAGCGTAGTTTTAATGTAACAGACAACATTCACTCCTTTTTTAGAAATAAAGTAACTAAAATAAATAATGGATCAATAGATCAACTGAAAAATTAGGTATGAAAGGGTTTGCAAATGAGACTATTTTAGTTTATTGAGATCAAAAGTTATCTTCCTCGTATGAGTTTATAAACTTAAAGTGAATGGATTTTCTAAACATAATACTGTATTTATATTTTTGTCACAGTCAGTTATTTCATACTATCTTTAATGTATTTTTTTTCTTTTTTTCCTTATTTATTATTACGTCGTATTATGGGATTTTTTTATAAAATTTATCTAATTATTTAATCTTTTTTACCTTAGACGCTATTTAAGTGAAATTTAGTATAAGAAACTATACTTGAGATGAACAAATCTAATTGAAATTTAACTTAAAACAAAATATTTTGATTCTTTATCAACTTAGATTATTTACCTTGTACAAAACTTTCTAAAATTTTTAAAAGACGAACGTGAATTAAATATTGTCGTGATCACGTGATTGATAGTCAATTGTGGCTTTCAACCTTTGAGATTTTGTGATCTCGTATTACATGACACACATTACTCATATTCAGTTTTTTTTTTTGATCATCACCTTGCGGATCATCACTTTGAAAACGGAAATAATGAAATTTACGCTTTTTTTAATAAATATTAAATAGGTCACATTTTTTTATTTGCCAAAAAAAATATATATAAGTTATTCATTTACTTTTTTTAAAAAAAACTCATTTAAACGAAAAATTTTAAAGTATGATTGTAAATATAACAACAATTATGTATATGCTTTCATTTATCTGATGAAAGTATTAATAATGGTATCTTACAAAAAGGCTCAGCTATTCCTTGTATTGATGATGAAAATGTATTTATAGTAAATCTAAATATAGACAAAAAATATTCTTGCTTAGAACAGATAGCATTACAACCACTTTCTATTTCATAAAAACAAACATATAATATATAGGTATAATAAAATAATTAAATTTAAAACCAAAATATGTTTGTACTACTTAATTTGTTGTACATATATATACAACACAACTGATTATATTTGAAGGCTACCCCTTGGGCTGCCATGATGGTAAAAGTCTGGTCCTTACTACTAAAATGTTAAACTCGAGAGATAAATTAAAATTACAAAGATCGTCATATTATTTGATATCAAATAAAAAAAAGAATTCAAGACAAATTAGTCGTAATTCCAAAGGTTATAGTATTATGTAAGTTCGGTAGCCTTCAAAATGTAACCTGGATAAATTGTGATCCTAAATAATTAATTTGAGTGGTTATATTTTATTTATTGATTTTTATTTTGATTACGGATAGGTGATGTTCATGTGAAGTATGTTACATTTTAGAATTTGTGAAACCATTTTTTTGATATAAAGTTGCCGCTCACGCTAAAATAAGTTAAATTTTGGAATTTAAATTTCTTATTTCAATAAAAAAAAAAAGAACTTGTTAAAATTTAAATAACATCATGACTAATGAATGCTCAAATTCCGAAAATTTATTTCCTGCTGATAATCAACATGAAGTTGTCGAAAAACTTGAAATTGGTTTCAAAAGATTAAATAATAAATTTATAAATTTATTAGAAGAAAATCAAAGAATTAAACAACACAATAATAATCTTCAAGAAGAAAATCAAGAAATCCTATATATTAATTCGGAATTAAATGAAAAATATCAAGAAATCTTACGTACTAATTCGGAATTAAATGAAAAAAATCAAGAAATTTCACGTACTAATTTAGAATTAAATAAAAAAAATCAGGAAATCTTACGTAATAACTCAAATTTAATTAAAGAAAATGAAAATGTTTTACGTATTAATAATGATTTAAAAGAAAAACTTCAAAAGATAGATGAACAATTTGAAAAACTTCAACAGGATTTAAATTTAGAGAAACAAAAAAATAAAGAAATTCAACGTCTTGAAATAGTTTCTCAAAATTTAGAAAAAAATTTAAAAATATTGGAAGTAGATGAAATTGATATCAATACTATTAATGCTTTTAAAGAGAACAACGAACAAGAAAATTGTAATATTGACAATAGTCCAACAACCTTCGCTTTAAATGATAGTAAAAGTATGTGGTAATGAACTTTTTAAAAAATTTTATTAATACTGATTAAACGAATTAATGCTTTTTATGTAATTTAAAGGTTTGGAGAAAGATATTGTGAAACACATTAAAATCGTGGTTGGATTAGACTTCGGAACAAATTATTCTGGATTCTCTTATTGCCATGTTGCTAATAAACAAAATATAATTTCAAATTATGTATGGCCTGGGTTTGGGGTAGCTGGCGTGTATAAAACAAATACAGTTCTTCAATATGATAATGAATATAATAATGTGTTGTGCTGGGGTGCTGAAGCTTTAAGAGTAAGACCAAAACGAAAAAATAGAAAACAAAATAGTCAACCCGTTGAATTGTTCAAATTACACCTGGGTTACTTGCCAGATAATTTAAAACCAAAACTTCCAATTAATTACAAAAAGGCTATTACTGACTATCTTAGAGAAATCGGAAAGGTATGAATTATAATTCCAAATTTCCAATATTATTTTAATTTTAATTTTAAATTTCTACTTATTTTAATAATTTTAATACTAATTTTTAGTTAATTAAAGAAAATATTAGATGCAAGTGGCATGGAATTAAATACTCTAAAAACGTATTGTTAGTACTTACAATTCCTGCAGAATATTCAGAAATAGAAAAGGCTATTATGAGAGAATGCGTATTTGAGGCAGCCCTCATTAAAAATATGGACTCAGAAAAACTGCAATTTACTACAGAGTGTAAGTGGGTTTTAAAAAATAAAGCTTTTATTAATTTAATGTAATTGATTTTTCTTTACTTACAGCTGAAGCCGCTGCATTATATTGTTTAAAAAACGAATTAAAATATGAAATAGGAGGCAAGTTTTGATTATTAATTATTTTAATTTAAAAGATATTCAAGTAATTTTTCATTCATATCTTTTAGAAGCATTTATGTTTGTTGACTGTGGTGAGTATACTACAGATTTGACTACTCATAAGTTAGTCAGAAATGATCCATTGTATATAGATAAAGCTACAGTACACATTAGAGACTTCTGTGGAAGTAGATTGATTAATGAAGAATTTATTAAATTTTTATGTGAAAGACTTGGAACTTGTGCTATAGATCTATTGAAAGAAAATAATTATAGTCATTTACAATATATGATCCAAGTTTTCCGTGAACGTATAATGGAACCCTTTACAGGTGATAATATGGAGTTTCAAAATGTACTAGACATTGATGAAGTATCTCCAAATTTGCCACAGTATGTCAGTGAAGAAACTAGGGAAATCATGAAAGAAAATGAGTGGTTGATTGACATTAAATATAATGACATAAAAAAAATGTTTGATCCGGTTGTTGATAGAATTATTCGTTTAATATATATACAACTTTCAAATAATAAAGAAAATTGTTCAACAATATTTTTAACTGGGAATTTTTGTGAAAACAAATATTTACAGAATAGAATAAAAGAAGAATTTAGTCATCATGTGAATAATATTTCAGTTCCCGATTACCCAGAAGCAGCAGTTGCACGTGGAGGTGTAATTTATGGATTATCCATTATATCAACTATTTTGGATGATGTTGAATTTGACATTTTAAAACCTGCTATTTCTCCGAGAGTCCTTAAATATACTTATGGAATTAAATATAACTGGAAAGGTAGTGAGGATCCTACTCATGGTGGCAAAAATTGTAGATTTAAAACTTTGGTCAAACGAGGCACTGAAATTACATTTGATCAAACTTTTTCCTTTAATTTTAAACCCGAATCTAAGACAAGTGAAAGTTTTGCAATTTACTATACACAAAAGTACAATATTGAGTACTGTGATGAACCAGGAATGACACTACTTGGGAAATTAAATATTGACCTTCCAGGTAAATCTCAACTATTTATATAATGAAAATATATAAATTATAATTAACTTTTTTTGTAATCATTATTAGACGTACATCTTGATAATAGAAGGATTGATTTCGGGCTAACCTTTGGTCAATATGAAATTATTGCATCTACAAGGAATGAAAATAGACAAAAACATGAGATTACTTTTTGTTATCCAAATGATGATTTTTGATTTTATAAAGAGTTAAATTATAAATTTTACCTTATTTATATAATGTATAAAAACTAATTTTTAGGTAGTTTTATTCATTTATTTTATATATAATATGCATTAAAATTGTAAAAAATTTAGTTTTTTTAAACTGGAATAAATATAAATATATAATATGGTAAAGGTGAATTTTACCCGAGGTGAATTTCCCTCTGGTGAATTTCCTTCTGGTAAGTGCTACAATTCACTTATATATATAATAATATACATACTAGTAATATATATATAGTACGGTATATCTGGTATTATAAATTATTTAAAAAAAAACGTATATTTTGCGTGGCATCCATTTCTTTATTTTTATGAGATTATATCGTAGTACTAAATTTTATGATGTCGATCATAGAAGTTTTGATTTGAATATGAGATTTAATTATCTGAACATAAAAAATCATAAGGTAAATATTTGTTGGTGCAACATAAGATATCACAGTGATATTCGGAATGTAAATAATTGTTATATAATTTATTAGTATAATATCTGTCTCTTATACACATCTAGATGTGTATAAGAGACAGATAATTGTTATATAATTTATTAGTATAATATGGGATGTTATATAATAATAATAATAATTAACAAATATTAATAACTTATATTATTAAATAAAGTTTCATATTTCCAACCAGTTTTATCATCAACTTCTTGAGCAACAACCTTAATTGTTATATTACTAAATAATAAAGTAATCGAAATAGCACTGTTTTTAATTGTACTGGGCGTACTAATCTTCAATGTACCAATTAAATTTACCCCAGGAGAATCACAATATTTTACATCATGTTCATCTGTAATAAATAAATCTATACTATTTCGTGAAATGAAATTTGAACTAAAAATTATTGAGATTCCTGTATCAATTGGAATTTCATTCCCTTGTTTAGCTATTTGTAAAAAAATATTAATCATTCCATCTGAAAGTTTACGTTCAATTGGATCACTAGGATTCCATTTGCGAGTAGCTTTGATTCCTAAAAGAGATAAAATAGGAGTTTATCTTACTGTATTTTTTAATTAATTAGTTTACAACTTACCATATGTCTTTTCAAAAACACGCGATGAAATTGTTTTTATTTTATTTAAATTATCTAGCTCGTCTAGTATCAATCCATATTGTATAGATTTTACGAATTTGTAATAAATAATTAGTTAATAAACTTACAGCCATTACTAATATTAAACTATCTTAACGCGCTTATACCATAAATACGATGAACAGAAGAAGTCTCATCTGACAAGTCGTGAGTAGGTTTAACGTTTAATCCATATATTATAGCACCTCTAATGACTGCTGCTATTGGTAAAGCAGGTACTGCAATAATCGAAACTCGATCTTTAAAGGCTTCTCTTACTCTACTCAAAAGATAAGGTGATTCGCTAAATTTGCCTACTAAAAATATTGCACGGCATTGTTCCTTAACATCATTTAATTGACCATCAATCAATTTTATGATTCTATCTACAACTGGATCAAACATCCCTTTCACTGATTCAAAATCAAGTTTTACAATCCATCCAACTTCTTCCATTTGTTCTTTAAATTCTCCCGTAACATATTGCGGTAAACTAGGACAATAATGTTGCAAATTAAACTTGTATGTCCTAAAACATTCACGATCCTCGTTAAATTTAAATCTAATCCGAGTAGAAAAAAATCGTTTAATCAAATACTGTACTTGTCCATATTTACATTGTTTTAATTTTTCTAATGCTTGAATTCCAACTTTATGCTCAAGAAAGTGTAAAAATTCCTTATCAACAAATGTAAAACCACATAGATCGCCGACACGTTTAGTAATCTCATTTAATCGGTTATTTTTAAGAAATTTTCGCGTTATAATATCGACTGTATCATCACCACAATCTGCAACTAGGAAAGAATCTTAATTTTTTAAAAAAAGTATATAACAGATAAGTAATCTATAAAAACAATTATTATAATTTTTTTTTTACATAAAAAAATCCACTACCTCCATAATGAAGATTATGCCCCTTAACACTTAGGCAATATAAAGCAATTGCATCCGCTGTAACAAAGAAAAAATTAGTTCACCGTCCTAATCCAATGACATTATATAATTAATCATTATACACACGTTCAGTAGTAAACTCAAGATGTGTAGAGTTTAATGTAGTCAAGAGACTAGCTTTATATGCACATTCGCGCATGACAGTTGTATTATGGGGTGGCTTCAATTAATATTATTAAAGAATTTAATTATTAGTTGTAAAATAAATAACTACTAATGACCTATCTTGTACGATATACCCATTCAGCAGGAATGGTTAGAATTAAACCAACATGCTGCGGAAAACTAATTGTCAGCCACCTTCTTTCTAGTGTACTTTTAATCAATATCTGCATTTGAGTTAAATAATCTATGATTGCTTTCCTGTAATTTAATTGCGGAGGTAACCAAGGTTTTTGATCTTCTCTTAAATTAGATAGATGTAATTTAAACAGTTCAATTGGACGAGAACGCTTATTTAAATCATCAACCGTATCATCCAGTTCATCATATAGTGCCAAGTCACCCAATTTATAACTTGAGTATAAGTTTTATTATATTCAAGTGCAGTAGGAATTTTAAAAACACCTTCACGCCCTGGCCTTTTAATTAATTATTTTACTAAAAACACTCGTCAAAAAAAAAGTAAAAAAAAAAAATATTTAATTTACCAAGTAGAGTTCACTACAATAGTTTCCGGATTTTTTATATGCACATAGGCAAAACTCGAATGAGTCATTCCGAAATCTATAAGGATTCTAATTTTTTGCAGATCCATTTTTTTTTATCCAATTTTGACTTTAAAATTGATTCAAATATCATAAGATATTATTGCATAGAAGATATGAGCGGAAAATTTTTTAATGGAAGCGGTTTAGCGACATATATATATGAAACATTGTCACACAAACTTGTGCTACATGCTAGGTGTTCATATCGCACGACATGAATCTGGCAATTTGGTAAAGAAAAAAAAATGATATTGTTTGATATAAAATAATTTTTCAATAAGGGCAATTATAAAGTAACGATAACGGATAAGTTGTAATTCATTTTTAACTTTAAACATATCAAATGTCCGCCAAGAGACCTATTTTGCAACAGACCCTTTGCTGTATTTCGGCTGTAGTTGTAGCAGGTGATTATTACACAAGCAGATCGGTAAAAAAATTTCCTTTTGCAACAAGCTTACCGAATATTTGGAAAATAGAAAATAATTTGGCAGTGAATTCTATATCGAATGTAGGATAAAATTCAATTTTTCTAGCGAATTCAAATTAAAACTATAATATACAGTAAATACATTACAGGCTTTTTATTTTTCTTTTTTTATTTTGTTTTTTACCTTTACTCCTTTTACTACGCCACAATGGATCTAAAAATAGAGTTTGCAAAAGGGTGTCATGTTTTCAAAACTGTAAAGAATTTCTAAACGAAAAGGGTGTTTCCCTTATGAAAGGAGATTAGGAGAAATGAGAAATTAAATATAAATCCTTGTATTAAACTTCGCCTTTCTTGATTTTAATTTAGAAAAAGATGGATCGTTAAAGAAAATTATGAAATTGAAATACTCATCACATCACATAATTACATCCATCTCAGAGGGTGATGGATATTCATGGGTTTGCCGGGACAAGAATCAAAAGAAGGTAAGATGTAATTCATTTTAATATATTACAAATTATATATGTAAGGTAAATATTATTTTTGCATTATAAGTAGAACGAAATGAGAATTATCCATTAGGTTCATTTTATAAAAGAAAATCTGTAAATATATTTTGCTTGGAGTCTGAAAGACATATTTTATCCACGATTGTGACGCAAGATGCCAAGATGACAACCACGATTTGGATAATAACCGTTATTTAAAAAATGTCTTCTTTTTTAAAGCTGTTTTGACGAGCTAAGGACAAAAGCAATAATTGTTAGCAGAGCAAGAACAGGCAACGTTTGATTTGATTTTAATGACGAGCTTGATAAATTGAAGGTTTATTAAAGCAATTCCGAGTTCTGGACTTCTGGTGTATATGTATGTATATGACAAAATTTTGATATTTATTATATTTGATTGAATATTATGTTTTAATACTAGGTATTTATTTTAAACAAGCGATTAGCTAACTCGTAAATATCTATGAATAAAGAATACCTTTTCTAATAAATATATATAATTTTTATAAATTTACTATAAATATACTGCGAAAAAAATACAATTAAAATGTATATCTACTACATAATTAATTTTATTGCAATATATATATACTCTTTATTTACTTTATTTGGAATATTCGTTCAATACAGATTTTATATATAATGTTAGCCTACATTATATTAATTATGAAATAATTTTTAAAATTTTTACACACTACAATTTCACATATTTCAATAAAAGTAAATGCCAATCATTTCTATTTTCTTTGATTACTAATATTATTTGATTGATTGAAGGTCCCTGAAGGGGTCGTTTCAAGTGGGTTGTTTTTATTTATTTTTTTTATCTATTTAATTTAATTCTTTTTTTTATAACTGGCAGTTTTAAGACCTATTTTTTTAATTTGTTTCTTAATTTTTTTTATCATTTCCAATAAATGTTACATTTATTTTATTTTTTTAAAACGGTTCTTTTTTTTAAAAAATACTTTTTTATAAATTTTTTTTAAATGTCTTTTTTTAAAACATTTTTTTTTTTTTTTTTAAACGGTTCCATTATTAATTCCATAATAGTAGTATACAGAACTTTTTATTTTTTTTTTTTTGTTTAGTAAATTTTTTTTTTAACGATTGAATTTTATATGCTGATTTTTTTAGCAATAAATCTCTTAAGTTCTATGAAAGATTTTTTTTGTAATAAATTTTACCTTTTTTTTAATGATCTACATAACGAAATTTAGTCTCCATATAGGTGATTTTGGTTGTGTTATGTGAGAACGATATAATATTTATACTGTATGTTCTTGAGAAAATAAAATTTTATCGTTAATTGTTAAATCGAGTTCTGCCCAACGAGAGCAACGAACATTTTTAGAAAAATTTAACATATATCGGTATATCTACTGTATATCTCATCTTGGGGCCATGTGATTGACCGCAGCAGATCGCTAAAGTATAACGAGAATTACTATTTTTTCAGTTCTTGTAAATTAGGAACTTTATTAAATATTTTTTTTTGGTTCTTATAAACCGGGGAATTTATTTATAATTAGGTACCTTTTTTTTCGGTTTTTTATAAACCTGAAATTTATTTACTGAATACAATTTTTTTTTAATATATAAAGGTTTTGACGTTATCTCAATCTCAAATTTTTATTGGTTTAAAATTTTTTATTATAAAAATCAAAATCTGCACGCCGCATCAAATTAAATATGAGAACCAATTTCTTAACTTTATATCGACTATTAAAAATTTTTTGAATTTAAATTTTAAAATAGAAAACTAAAGAAGGTTCTCATATCCAAAATCTTATTTTAACCCTATATTCTAGATCTTAGATTTATCTTTTAATCTGATTCAATAATTCTATCAAATATTTAACAAAATTTCAATTTTTACCAACCATTTCTTATAATCTGTATATATTAAAGTTTGAGAAATGTAAATAGGATAGTATTTATTTTGTGGATTTAAATTGAAATCCCAAATGATTTTCGCCCTAAATTTGTTAAAGGCCCTCTTAATATTTTCAAAAAAAAACCAATTAAAATATGATTATCAAGATCTTAGACTAGAATCGAACTAGTCAAAGCATAGACATGCTCTCCACCAGGATAAGATTTAAAAAAAAATTCTGTTTGCTTAATCTTTTAAACATATAGGAGAAAGAAAAGAAACAGAAAAAGAAGAGAAACACCTTAAAATATGGAAGAACTCTAGAGATATGACCTCAAACACCAATCGGCAAACTCAGAGGGATGCTATGGCTGACCAGCCGGGAGACAGGGGCATATGCTATGGGTTTATCACGTTTCCAATAAACCAAGGTCGTCTACAGTCACATTATGTATAT